TACATATATATACATACATATATATATATATACATATACACATACATATATATATATATATATACATACATATATATATATATATATACATACATATATATATATATATATATACATACATATATATATATATATATATATATATCAAATACAGGTTCCAGACCTGCTAGTAAAAACTAGAGCTGGTGAGGTGAGAATTCTAAAAACAAAGAGTATTGCATCTCCTTGCACAAACTCATACTGAGATAAAAAAAAAACATTAGACTCTGATAATTGGTTTAGAGACGGCACTAAAGCCCTTCTACCGGTCTCCTCCTATATTTTTGTCTGTTTGCACCAAATATAAGAAATAAATATCACAGAGTCAGTGGAAATGTAATATATTGGCTTTATCTGTCTGGCACATGTGTGAATCTCATCAGTGTTTTCATTTCACTTTATTCTTATAACACCCTTCCTCTTCAAAGCTGCCTCTGGGCTTTCGACTGAACACGACTCACCAATTTCATCCTGAATCTCCTCAGCAACATAAGGTACTTTGTAGAGGAGAGATAGACTCTGGTTCATCCGCTCATCGATCACACGCAGGTGGGTCGTCACCTGGGCTCGTGAAAACAGACAAACAGGAAGTTATGTAACCATAATCCTGCTTTAGGAGGACATCAAAGTGAAAGTACTTTCCTGTATGGGAATGATGTTGGATAATTCAAAGAAAAATAAAGAAATCAAGACTTTTAATGACAATTGTGCCATTTACTTCCAGAACCGAGGAGATTTATTTTCCTAAAACCCAGGGAGTTGTCTTGGTTCATCAGTGATAAACACATTTTAATGATGTTTTTAATGATATAAGAAAAAATCCTCACATTGGAGACATGGGAATTGTTTTGATTAAATACTTACAATGAAAAGTCATTCATTAAAATTGATGGATCATTTTATAGCGTTTGACAAATCCATTAAACAAAAAAATCGTTTCAACACTAATCCAGTGACAACTAATTACAGAGTCATTTGGTCTCAAATGTTCATCCCGACAGTATTTATTCACAAGCTTACATGAATGAAGCAGAAAATACACCCTTATCCCGGAAAACCCCCTGAAATTCTCTCGAGTTTATTGATTTACTGCCGAGGTTCTATCGCAGAATACAGTCTTGGCTCCTCTGTTTGGAGATTTGCAAAGGGACGTAGGAAAAGCGTGGTGGTGCGGTGAGATAATAGAAGTGAGAAGAGAAGAAGAAGAAAATCAAGAAGATAAGAAGAGGTATTGTGTCTAGAAGCTTAATTTAGTAAACAACATGTTATGTGCAAAACAACTATAAATCAGTATAAATAGACTTTAAAATAAATTACTATAGTAGACATTTTGTGGAGAGGCAGCTAGCCCCGAAAATAAATGTTCAAAAGGAAGAGAGTTGTTCTTCTTCTCAGATGTAAACAGAAGTGTCAGAAATGTGCTTTCTACTCTGGACATTTTTTTCTTAAAATGAACTCGTACGCACACGCACACACAGCCAGCCATCTTGCAGACATAAAACAAGTTGCTGCATGTAATATTCAAATCAGTGTTGAAGCTCTGAACCGCCGTGACAGGATCCACTGCCTGTCAGCTCTAATGACTACCACCACATCACACGTTGGGTAAAGCAACACACTCTTTTCCATCCAATAATAATTTCTCCCGTCTCTGTAACCATTTCTGTGAGGTTTAGAGACTTTAGTTCCACATTCCGCTGCCGAAGTGGTTGGCAGAATAAAACAACTAGCAGCCACTAAAAGCTCACCAGCTTTTGGCAGGTTACTGGTGTTTATTTCAAAACCAACTCTGATGTCTGACTGTGTTTTGATCTGCCTACACATAGCTGCAGTGCACCGGAGCCAGCAACAGATGGCAATAACGCACCTTTCAAAATGAAAAGCATTACGCAGCCCCTGTGGCACCTTCATGTCGATGTTTGACAAACAATCCGGATTTTAAAAACGACATGTGGTCGGAGTATATCTTTTTATTGTATCAAGGAACCTCGCTCAGAGAGATGAGGCCTTAAATACATATCTATAATCCCAGCAACTGTTACATAAAGCACAGCCTCCTGTTTACAAATCGTTATTTTGTAAAAGAAGTCAAATCCACAAACAGTTGCAAATACTACATCGAGATTTGAACGGGCTGCAGGACTGGCTGAGTGAAGAAACACAGAGGAACTAGGCTGCACAAATGAACATCGTGAGAGCACAACAATAGAGATTTGTTTCCCATGACTGAGCAGAGAGGCTCTCCACCTCCCAGATCCCACCATTCATCTAAATAGTAACCCTCCAGGTCCTCTCCCTGCCTCACTATGTTGTTTTGTCCATCTGTAACGTCGGAGGATGGCTTTAAACGGTGTCGGAGGGCACTCACACAAACAGGAGAGTACATCTAAGAGAGCAGCTTCCAGCCAAATCTCCGAGTCCGGCGTTACACAAGACCTGCGCAATGTTAATCTTCGGCTGGGGCTTAAGTGAATGAAACAAGCCGCCCTCCCTCTCCGTCAGACGAGCCAGCCTACTCACTCCTCCCGGGCTTCAACTCAGAGAAACACACTCTTTCTACCTCCTACACACTTAGAAGACAGGGCAGCGAGGAGCAGGCTGAGACATCGTTATCACTCCCTGTCTGAGTGTGAGATCTCACAGAATGAGGTTTCATATTAACTGACAGTAATGCTCAGAACGGCTGCAAAACCTCAAATTATTGACAGGTAGCAATTAACCACATTGATTATACAGAGCAAAAGGACCTCAAAGTGGATAATCAATAAATGGTACACATCTGAGATAATGTATTCCAATAGAAATGTCAAACATTTGCTGGTTTCAGATTCTTAGATGTGGATGTAAATGGAATATATTGGGTGTTTTGATGGTTGATTGGACAAAACTAGCAATGGGACTCCTTGGGCACTAGAAGCCTTTGATTTTTATTTTCACCATTGTCAAATCTGGCTCATTGGTATCACAACACTGACCTGGGACTTCATCTGAGCAGCCTTCTCAGGATCCACAGCCAGGACGTGCTGGTAGTGGCGGATGGTGTGCTGGCGGTCTTTGTTCTCGGCGCGCACGTAGCGTCTCAGGGCCTGCAGGATGCGGTGGGGCTGAGCGGGACATGGAGTGGGAGGACCAGCGGTTATTAGAAGTGTCGAGTGGTGAAACAGCCTCATAACCATTTCTGTGTACCATGATAGATGGATCTGATGAAATAATCCTGTCTTGTGTTGGTATAATTTACATGACAGCAATTTCTTCTTTTGTCAATCCCTTCAGATTTGTTATTTTATTCCAATCATGGCAATTATTATGAAACCAAACATGTAGACTTCAAGTAGTTTTTGCAGGCCATGATGGAAAGGAGTAGGGTACATTTTCGATCACAGCTGCATACTTTAAATAACATGAAACTAAAAACACTATCAAAGCTCAACACAACAATCGACCATCAGCGAAACAGGTTACCTGACTTCCTCATACTGTCTAATTATTCTTTCTTTATATATATGTTCATCCAGGCCTTTAAATCATTTGGCAAAGGATTCACCGGTCTAACTACAGAGAAACACATCTGCTTTAAAGAAGTCCGTGCAAACTGATGCTCGTCCTCTGAATTTAAAATAATATTTTTGGTATATTTTCTGGTATTTTAACTAAATAAGTCTGTTATTCAATTAATCTTTACGCTTGAACAGTCTTGACTAATTTAAGAGTATATTGGTTGGTTCTCGAGGATGTGCATTATGCAAATTCTCACTGCTTATTACTTCACACAGCGTCCACACGGCGGCGTTGAAGCTTGCCGGCGGGCGTGCCTGAAGCTCGACCAACAACCAATCACATCAATCTCCCGCCCCGGACACACAAGCACGCGGTTGATTGGCTAGAGCTTGTACTTTTACTTGATTGGCTGACGCATCCGTCGAAGCTTCAAAAGTTGAACATTGCTCAACTTTTGAAGCGAGCAAAGCGAAGCGACGCTCCCACAATGCAGTTCGGCAAAGCGTGACGTCATCCCATTCAAAGTGAATGGGCAGAAGCGTAGAACCTTCAACGCACGCCGCCGTGTGGACGGGCCGTTAGTGTAAATAAAGGTTTAAAGCTACTCATATATGTGTTGCCTCACATCAACACAGTCATTTAAATATGGCAAAATCAATCTAAAACTATTTTATAGTTATCAATCAATTTTCTTATAAATATAAGGATTATTATTATATCAATCCCAGCTTCAGTAAACCATTAAATGATGAAACAAATGACCCAAAAACTGAAGATAAAAATATGTGTTATGTTTCGCAAATCCTTCACATATCTTAGCTTTCATTGCATATGACATGACATTAAACCTTCTGCAGCACTTTCTGAAATAGCACCACAGATGATGCAATGACCAATTTCCGAGGTGTAACAGAAGCAGGATTAGAAATGAGGGTCTCAGTTCAGGTTATAAAACATATGTAAATCTTCCTGTTTGGGGGACAAGATAAGCCAGCAGCACCCAGTGCCAAATGCTGTGCTGGCAAAGGATAACAAGACAATTACCGTAATTTTCGGACTATAAGCCACGCCTTTTTTCCCATTTTTCGACCCTGCGGCTTATATAACGGTGCGGCTAATCTATGGATTTTTAAAGCTAACGGCCACTAGGGGAACTCCTAAATCTATGGATTTTACAGGTTACAGTCCACCACCTTTAACTCTATGGGCTCTATGGCCGGTCCGCGCCCCCCACCTTTAAGCGGCGGGCTCCAGCAGGAAAAGCTGGAGGCCGGAAAAGAGTGAGACAGGTAGCGCGCAAGAGTAAAAGTGGAACCGAGAGTGGTACGAGAGACAGAACGAGAGCAAGACAGACAGACATTACGAGAGCGAGACAGTTTGTGCAAAGGTGTTAAACGTGCGCTGGGAGTTGAAAGTTGAAAAGTTTGTGTGTCTGAAACGCTATGTGATACAGTACAGTTTACACAGCACAGTACATGTTCTGTAGCTACTATTGCACTAAATGGTAACACTTGAATACGTTATGCAAATATGCAACTTGTTTGTTGAAATGTTAATAAATGGGAGCTTCCTCAAACAGCCATCTCTTTCCCGACAATCCCCTCTGTGCACGAACCCTTACATATGGTAATTAAACATTAAAACACCTGCGGCTTATAGTCCAGTGCGGCTTATATATGTACACATCATTCAATTTAGCTGCTGCGGCTTATATT